AGAAAACATAAAAATGAAATTTGTGAAGAGAACAAAATTAAGTAATCCCTTGGTTAGCCTTCAGATGCACAGCATGGTGTCATCCATTGGCCACACGATGGATTGAATTTGACTTCCTCCTATGCATGCTCACCCACCATACACCCCGGTAAACATTCAATCTCAGCCCTCCGTTTGCAATCCTTTTGATCAACGCTTCAGAGTTAACTTCTGGTAGCCTTTTGATCAAGATCAGACACTCCAGGTCTTGTTTGTCTACCATACATTTATGAGTCGCCCCCACTGTATCCAAATAGGTTCAAACCCATCTTGGGCCAAGCCCGTTACTATTTACACCACCAATTTACTTATCCAAACTAAGACCATACCCCCCCATGCAATTGGATTGAAACTCTGATTTGGGCTTAGCCCATTGTTATTTGAACCCCCTATTTACTTAACTAAACTAAAAATGCACTCTCCCTAGTTTTTATTTATAATTTTTTTATTTTTTTATTAGTTTATTTGTTTATTTTATAAATTATGTTTTATTTTTATACAAAAATTACAAAAGAAAAAAAACCATTTTTAAATACATATACTTATTTAATTTGTTTAATTGTTAACTATTTTCTTTTAGAAAAATAATAAACTCTTTTATATGTTTTTAATTATTTTATTGATAAATATCTTTTTATACTAAATTGATTAAAAAAATTTTACTAACTTCAAATATTTTTTTTTATCAACCATGCATTAAAATAGCGAATCAATATCAATTTTTTTTACTAACTTAACAAAATTCAAGATATTTTCAAAAAAAGGATTAAATAGCATTGCCTTAAAACTTAATTGCAAACTGCATCTCGATCACTCATTTTTACAAATTCGGACAAGGTTCAAGGATAATTTGAAAGAAATTCTATGCAATCATATAAAAAAAGCTAACCAAACACTTCGAACTACGAAGGACTTTGATTTCTTCTTAAGAAGATACGTAGGCACACGGTTCAAAAAACAAGGCGAGACCACTAACTAAAAAAACACATTTTTCTCTGTTCTTATTCCTATATATGATCATTCAATAATTAAATAAAGAAATATCCCTCATAAGTCCTAGAGCTAAAAAGGACCCCCCTTGAATACAAGGGAGATAAAGGGTTCATAACACGTTCCCTTTATCTAATCAACTCATGAACCCATTAATCCCTAAACACTTAGGGTTTTTCTGTTCCTTTTCTGTCCTTAGGACAAATAAGTAGTGGTGGCGACTCTCATATTTTCTGTCGGTTACAACATCATTCGTTTGCGGTGTGTCACCCACCGTCTAGCTTTAGTAACAACATCAAGGATGTAGAAGCTATAACTCTACCAAAATCATCAGACATCTTCCTCATAGCCATAATTTAACTACTTGAGTGATTGCACATAAAAATATTTCGCTACACCAAAACCTTCTCCACACAACGCGTCTAATAATGGTTAGACTCACAAACCATCTATACCACATGATGCCTATTTGAAGAACAATTTAATTCTCTTGAGAATAATGTCAATGCTAACCACAAGAGAAGATTCACATGATATGATGGTCAATATGGAAAGAGGCTACTTGTATGAGCTTTTATTCTCCAAAACCTTCAATGTGTCATCATTATAAAGAGGTCACCCCAAATGACCCAAATATTTTCATTGTTGTTTGTGAAGTATTGATTTGCAACCTTATAGGAATTTCTTGACATTAGTTTCATCTTTTTACCTTCCTCACTTGAAGCTACACCACTCCAATAATTTTCATATTGTCTTCATCGACAATCATGGTTTTAAAAACTATCATACTCCACCTAAAGAAGAGAATATTTCACTTGAAGCTAAAAGACTTCAAGAATTTTCACATGTCGAAAATCAGGTTGAAACTTTATGGTGAAACTTCCATGTTGGTAGGAAGTTCTTCAACCACCGACATAATCTTGCACCTTGTGTAAACTGATTGTATCAACACATCTTTGACTTGAACTTTCCACAAGTCAAAAACAACTCTTCCATCAATTTTCTTTACACAAACTGCACAGTGGAACTTGTGACTGGAGCTCAACAACTCTTACACAACACTGTCCTTCTTTTCTGATGTGGAAGATCAAACAAATCTACAACCACAGAGCATACTGTTGCACCCCAAAATTTTCCCTCCTAATCTCTTTTATTTGGCTTAGACTTTTTGCATTCATCTGCATCATTCCAATGGGTCATTTGCATAGCACGCATTTTTCATAAAAATAGATCGCCTAAGGTTCAAAAGACCAGCAGTTAGGGAGCTAAGGGTTACAACTGATTTAAGGTGTATGTGTGGAATGAGCCTGATTATTCAGGGTCTTCCTGGTGTCAGCAAGTTGGGGAATTAGGGTTTTGGTTCATTCTCATTTTTTGGACTTCCTTTCCCTCAAGCAGCAAGGCTATTATTTTCTGATAAACAACATGCTTAATGACTTTGACATGGCATTCATCCACTCTTCAATTAACCAATTCAGGTTTTGTCGAATCATGGTTCAGAGAATCATTGGTTGTGAAGCTCGGGTTTTCTTTTGGTTCGGAGTGTTTATCAAACAAGACTGATTCTTCTGGTACATTGAATTGTGAATTTAGGGTTTTGATTGATGGTTGTTGTGGATTTCTTCTTTATCAAGCTACGAGGTTATTCTCTTTATCTCAAAATCAAGTTGCAAGGTTTTATTTGTTAAAGTCTGAAGATTTGAGTTTATTTCTTTATGTCTATTGGAAGATCATGCTTTGTTTCATTTCGAAGACATTTTGAACATTATTCTATCCATGTCTCAAGTCGTCATTGTGCACCTAATACAAGCGGGTTAAGGTTTTGTATTTTGTGTGTGAGTTTGTTGATGTTCATCAATGAGGAATGATTAGAGGATATCCTTCTAAGCTTCAAATTTTATCTTCTTCAAGGATCCCACAAAGACATTTTTTGACAAAACAAAGGACTTGTGGGGTTGAATTGAAAAGTATGAGGTCATGGCATAAGGAATGGTACCATATATTCATGTTGATCAAGGCCATTTTTGTTCTCATCATCGTTAGTTTTTGCTCACAATACAAGTCAATGTGGATTAATAGTTTTAAGGATATCTTCGTTATACTTCTTCCATATTTCATTCTTCGTTATCAGTTCCTCAAAACATTATATTTGTGTGAGTCTGGTCGATCTTCATTCATCTGTTCTTTTGGCTGAAACACTTACTACTCTGATACTTGACAGTTGTACAAAGCTTGGGAGTGTTAAAGGCCGGAAACATTTAAAGTTTTTTTGGAAAAGATCAGTATCATTGGCTGTACAAGTCTCGAGGAATTTTCTGTCTCCTCGGATTTAATTGAAAGCTTGGATTTAAGCAGTACAGAGATTCAAACACTTGACCTATCTATTGGGCTTCTTCGCAATCTTAAGTGGCTTAATCTTGAGAGTTCAAGACTTGAGTATCTTCCAAAGGAGTTACCTAGCCTAACATCTATTAAGGAGCTTAGGATTTCTGGCAGTGGACCAAAAGTTAAGAAACAGCAGCTACATGTCTTGTTTGATGGCCTACGATCTCTACAAATACTACATTTGAAGGATTGTAATAACTTGTTTGAACTCCCTGACAACATCAGTGTCCTATCAAAATTACAAGAACTAATTCTAAATGGAAGTAACGTGAAAAGGTTGCCGGAAAGCATCAGGAATCTTCAAGGGCTGGAAATTCTGTCATTGGAGGAATGCAGGGAGATTCGGTACCTTCAAGAGCTCCCCTCTCTCATCAAATTGTTAAATGCCGGCAACTGCACATCCCTGGTTTCAGTTTCAGACTAAAAAAAAAACTATTTCATCAAAGATGATGAGAAATGCCAAATACATTTCATTCAGAGACAGCCTGAATTTGGATGGGCGTTCACTCAAACATATAATGGAAAGTCTAAATTTAACAATGATGAGCGCTACATTTCAAAATGTGTCTGTTAGAAGACTTCGCGTGGATGTTCACAGCTACAACTATACCAGTGTTGATGCTTGTCTACCAGGAACAAGAGTCCCACAAGCATTATACAAGAATCAGATTCAGAGATGGTTGAACCAGAGACAAATTCTTATTGGGAAGTCAAGGGTTTCGAAAGGGGCATGGATCTATATTTTAAGAGACATGATGGGCAAGCTGTAACATGTGAAGATTTTTTATGCTGCCATGCGGGATGCAAATGATGCAGATTTTGAAAATTTCTTATCATGGTACTCTCAGGCTGGGACTCCAGTTGTTAAAGTAAATACTTCTTATAATGCAGAAGGACATACATTTTCCTTGAAGATTAGTCAAGAGACACCACCAACTCCAGGGCAGTCAGTTAAGGAACCAACGTTAATTCCTATTGCAGTAGGTTTGCTTGAGTCAAATGGCAAGGACATTCCTCTTTCCTCTATTTATCATAACGAAGCCTTGCAACTCGTTTCAAGCAGTGGCCAATCAGTATCCACTACAGTCCTTAGAGTCAATAAGAAATAAGAAGAGTTTGTATTCACTGATATATTTGAGAAGCCTGTTCCATCTTTGTTAAGGGGATACAATGCTCCTATTCTTCTTCAATATAATCTTACTAAGGATGAACAGTTTTTCCTATTAGCCAATGATTCTGATGAATTCAACCGATGGGAGGCTGGACAAATTTTGGCACGAAAATTGATGATCAACTTCGTGGATGATTTCCAAAATAATAAGCCATTGGTTTTAAATTCCAATTATGTTGGTGGGTTCAAGCGTATACTAACTGACTCAAGTCTGGACAAAGAATTTGTGGCCAAGGCAATAACTTTGCTGGGAGACGGAGAAATAATGGACTTGATGGAAGTTGCAGACCCTGATGCTGTTCATACTGTTCGATCTTTCATCAGAAAGCAGCTTGCTAGTGAACTGAAATCAGAGTTCCTTAGCACTGTAGAAAATAATAAGAGTTCATGAGAATATGTGTTTGATCATTCAAACATGTCTAGACGAGCTTTAAAGAATGTTGCTCTTGCTTATCTTGCTTCCCATGAGGATCAAGAATTCACCGACCTTGCACTTCAAGAATACAAAACTGCTACAAATATGACTGAACAGTTTACAGCATTGGCATCCATAGCCCAGAACCCTGTTAAAATTCGTGATGATGTTCTTGCTGACTTTTATGATAAGTGGCAGAATGATTACTTGGTTGTGAACAAATGGTTTGCTCTTCAAGCTGTGTCTGACATTCCTGGTAATGTTGAGAATGTGCAGAAACTGTTAAGCCACCCAACATTTGACTTGCACAATCCCAATAAAGTGTACTCTCTCATTGGAGGTTTCTGCGGGCTCCCTGTGAATTTCCATGCAAAGGATGGATTTGGCTATGAGTTTATGGGAGATATTGTGCTGCAACTTGACAAAATAAATCCTCAGGTTGCATCAAGAATGGTGTCAGCCTTCTCAAGATGGAAACGTTATGACGAGACCAGACAAAAACTTGCAAAGGCCCAGTTGAAGAAGATCTTGTCTTCTAATGGCCTATCAAAGAATGTGGTATAGTTTCTATCATTAAAAATTACATCATGCTGGCTACTCTTTTTCATACTCTTGCTTTAATTCTTAATTAAGATCTCGTGGCACGAGAAGCTGCTTCCAAAAGTGGATTGACCAGAATTGCCTCCGATCTACTCAACAAGTGGGATTCTAGTCTCGATAGCAAGGAGAAACAGCAGGTGCCAAAAATGGGCCACAACTGCTTTTCTCGCCTTAGACAGGTTGTTGCAGGAAACACTCAGGAGGGAATTCAAAAATATTTTGAAGCTCTAAAAGTAGATCCATACTATGCTCCAGCATATTATAACCTTGGCGTGGTCTATTCTGAAATGATGCAATATGACATGGCCCTCACTTTCTATGAAAAAGCTTCCTCAGAGAGGCCTATGTATGCCGAAGCATATTGCAACATGGGTGTGATTTATAAAAATCGAGGTGATTTGGAAGCGGCTATTACTTGTTATGAGAGGTGTTTAGCTGTTTCACCTAACTTTGAGATTGCCAAAAATAATATGGCTATAGCTTTGACAGATTTGGGAACAAAGGTTAAATTGGAGGGCGACATCAGCCGGGGTGTAGCTTTTTATAAGAAGAGCCTTATTTTATAACTGGCATTATGCTGATGCTATGTATAATCTCGGGGTTGCTTATGGTGAGATGCTTAAGTTTGATATGGCTATTGTATTCTACGAGCTTGCCTTTCATTTCAATCCACATTATGCGGAAGCTTGTAATAATCTAGGTGTTATATATAAAGATCGTGACAACCTTCATAAAGCTGTAGAATGCTACCAGCTTGCTTTGTCAATCAAACCCAATAACCTTGGTGTTGTCTACACTGTCCAGAGTAAGATGGACGCTGCGGCAAGTATGATTGAGAAAGCTATCATTACAAATCCGACAAATGCAGAGGCCTACAATAACCTAGGAGTTCTTTACAGAGATGCTGGTGATATTGCTCTAGAAAATAATGCTTATGAACAACGTCTCAAGATTGATCCCAACTCTCGAAATGCTGGCCAGAACCGCCTGCTTGCAATGAATTACATAGATGAAGGAAATGATGACAAACTTTTCGAAGCTCATAGGGACTGGGGTAGGCGGTTTATGAGACTATATCAACCATTCACATCATGGAACAACTCAAAAGATCCTGAAGGTTTCAAGAAACACTATGCCACGGTACAAGTTGAACTAACTGATGAATGGTACCCTATAAATGCCATTTTGGATGTTCCATTATCAAAGCAGCTGGCTGCTGAAAGATTGTTTGTAGGACAGAAGCTCAGAAAATGAGAAACAGAAGATTAATTAACAGCTCACCAATTTCCTCCTAACAATTTTATAACTCCCTAACTAATTCTATAACTAACTCTAACAGTGATAACAGAAACTGCTAACAAAGGAAAACAGAATTCATAACCGACTCGATCAGGACTTCTTCCTATAACCAATTACAAGGCAGATAACTAATTTTAACCAACTTCTAACCATTCTAGTAATAGGCTACTGTTCTAACAAACTTTCTGGAATCTCTAACAAACTTTTCTCAGCTGACCAACTATATAAACCTTCCTCTTCATCAGTCTCGGGGATCATTTTTTCTCTCCATATACTGTTCTGGAGAATCACTGAAACCATCATCTTCAATTTCCCCTCTCTAAACTCCGTCTTCACCTCCACTCTCCATTGTTCGACCATCAGTCAGTTCTCAAAGCTTCACTTCTCTCTGATTCACCATACAAAGTTCATTTTTCTCAACTTGCGATAATCTTCATAATTGTCATCATTTCCGCTCTTCTCCTATCGCCAACGCACGCAACCCTCAAACCAAAGAAAAGTGAAGACAGTGATGAAGGGATCAAGACGAAGCAGACAAGATCAAGAAGGACAATAATTGTATTACTTCACCTCTGGATTTCTGAAGCGCTACCAACGTGTCTTCAATAGGTAATCCTCAATCTTCTTCTTTTTACGACCTTTTTTTTTTGCTTGGTCTGTACCATAACTGCGAAGGGTAAAATGCGGCGAACGATAAATCCACCATGTAATCTTGATCGGAAGAAATGTAGAGCTTAAGTTTCGTTGTTAGATTCGGGATAGAGGAAGAGAAATTGACGAAAGCAAGCAAAGGAGTCGAATTCAGAGGGAGACTTTAGGTGGTGTTAACAAGAAAGTTGAATCGGAACAGGGGAGAAGGGATGGAGTCATGGTGGCATCGCCATTGTTGTTTTCGAATGTAGAAGAAAGGCTTTCTGTGTAAAGAAGCTGGAGGGGGCCGTTTACCGTAAACATCGTCGTTTTGGAATCTTTTTTTTCTTTTTCTCCTTTTATTATTATTCATTTATTTAATTGTTATTTCAAATGGTTAAATCAAAAGAGAAAAGAAAAGAGGAGAACTTATTATATTCTTTTTATTATTTTACATTTGGGAATTAATTCATGATTATTCGATTACTCGTGACTTGTAATTCATTTTTGCTCGTCAAGATTCGAGTCTGATGCAGGTTTTTTGTATGTTATATGGATACGCTCGAGATGCCGATTGAGATTTATTTTCACACTGAGGATGCTTCAATAATCATTCAGAATATTGGATTTCTGACTCTTTTCTTTGTTGGTGCTAGCATCTCGCAAGAACATCGGATCTCTTTACTTTTTTTACTTTGCTCCACGGGCTAGTACTCGTTTGGTATATTTTCTTTCTACTTTCACCTCGCATTTATCTCTACATAAAGGTCGTATGAAGTATAATAAAATTAGGTTTAGAAATAGACTAGTTTCCCTGTGACTTGTCCTTCCCTTTTTTTGCATATGACTTTAAAACAAAAACTTCTCCCTTTTTTTTTTACAAACTTCAAAAATACATAAAAATTTACTGACAAGAACCATGTCTGGGCTAAGTTTGAGAGATTATAAGCGGGTTTCTTCTCGACCTTATTATTCTCTTGTTCTAAGCTTTGGTATGATTCAAGTCTCAAAGAATCATTTCATGAATAAGTAGAGACATGGTTAAAATCTCTCTCTCTTGAGATTAACTAGCTATTATCTACAAGCAAAAATATCAACCAACATAAAATTCCTTTTGCCTTCGGGCCTTCCTTTCAAACTTTTTTCAGAAAGAGCGTATTAATTCACTTATGTGCTGACGCATAAGTCTCCAAAGGTCGAGTTGCGGCAGAAGGCAAAATTAATATCGTTCATTAAAAACCTAAACCAAATTCAAACTTTTGTGCGCCCAAGCACATTTTCTCCAAATCTTTTCAGAAGAGCATGTTAATTCACTTATGTGCTGACGCGTAAGTCTCCAACGGTCGAGTTGCGGCAAAAGGAGAAATTAATAATGTTCAGTAAAAAAATACAAACAAAAAAAAAACATATAAGCCGAACTACGGCTGCTCTGATTCCTTAAAAGGGATACGTAGGCATTGGGGTAGGGCCCAAGCGAGCACAAATTTTAATTTTCCCTACATCTTTTCCCCTTTCTTTTGCATGCATTCTCCCCTTAGCAATGATAAACAGTAAGCATAGACGAAACACACCCATAAGATAGACAACAAGAGTGGATACCGTAGAGTACTACGGGCGTGTGGGGTGCTAATACTTTCCCCTTGCGTAACAGACTCCCTTACCCTTATCTCTTGGTCGTTCGACCTTGATTTCACCCTTTTCAGGTTTCCTCGATGTTTACCTTTCCCTTCATGTGGGATAAAAGACGTTCGATGGCGACTTCATTGTTTGATGATTTTCAGCCGGTTGTTTCAGCTGGCGACTTCACTGGGGACAGGTCGACCAAATGCTGGTCCATCCCAGAGTCGCTCCTAGCTCTTGCTTTCTTTTCTTTGGGTGTTTATTTTTATGCTTTCAGTTTACTCATTTGTACATGTTTATCTGAGCATAAGCTTGCATTACATTTTATTGCTTTCCCTATTTGTCATCTATTATGCTGGACTCTGTTTTCCATGTTGGGCAGGGATGTTACTATTGAGGTAAAAGGCCCAGTACCCAGGCCAGAGTGCACTAGGACACTAGGAACAGAGTGGGGGCATGACGGCTATAGGACGTGGTCCGATTAGTGCAGTATTGTCATATACCACGCTCGGATGAGGTTCAAATGAATTACTATCGGCACCCACATCTGTGGGTAAGCCCATAGCACTTTCAGGAGGACCCGTGATTTTCGAGTTACGATTGTCTTAACCTGACCTAGTCTTCACCCGTGAGTGGGGAGGGAATCTTATCACAGGTACAATTGGTGACTATGTTCAAATGGTAACTCGTGTTCCGATGGTTATCCATGCTCAGATGGTTATCCATGCTCAGATGGTTATCCATGTTCAGATAGTGACTATGATCAGACGGTGATTATTGGTTCTAATGATCATGTTATGGACTTCTATCAATGACTTATACATATGGTGTTCTCTTGGTGACCATATGGTTCTCAGATTTATTTTCTGAGTTCCTGACTTGCTTACTTGGAAGTTCATTCAAGAATTTGATCTTGGTATTCCCAGCATATTCAGAAATGCTCAACAGTATCTGATGTTCCTGAAGCCTTGATCTCATGCTCGACTCTTATATGTGCGGAAGCTATGTCGGACCTTTGATTTGATAATATTCATATGGTTCAGAAGCAACGCAGCAATCATATTCAGAAATGATGGAACCTTGAACCCATTTGATCTCATGCCTTTGCGTACATAACATGGTTGACCACATGCTTAACATACATGTTCTGTGATTTCCAAGGAATCGTATTTGTAAACCTTGTGTTAAAACTTTCCATCTTTTACTTACGTAAAATCAAAATCAAATCATGTAAATTCCTCGGAAATGATGGAACATGACATGGCATCCATTCATGCACCCCATGTATATTCATCCATAACAGGTACTCGAAGATTGGGGATTCTTATTCAGACATGGTGTTCTCCTCGGAGGTTCAATTTGATTTCTTGCGCCACATGTTTAGGGATCAGTTATGGAATAACTCCGGGTATACA